GCCAGTCATCCAGATGGTATGGATGGTATCGCGTGTTTTGTCGCAATGTGCGATGGTGAAATTAAGCGGTTGGAATTAGTCCGAGCAATTCCTCAGCACTGCCTATGCAACATCTTTCCACAGTACTAGTGAGTCAAGCCGATCAGAAATAGCTCGGTCTCCGACGATTCGAACCGCACTCCGCTGAATTAGATCAAATGGAAAGAGTTGGCACTGAGGAGCCCCGGCCCAGAGATGGGAACAGTATTCCATATGAGGCGGAACCAGCACCTTGTAAAGTTGTAGACGGTGTGCCGGTACTGTTCCGCTTTGCTTAGCACGCCAAGCTCTTCAGAGACCAATTTGGCCTTCTCTTCGAAGTGACCACAAACCTGCGCGTCACTCCGTATGTCGACGCCGAGGATTCCGATTCTGGCTGAAACTGAGGAAATACGACAAAGGGGTTTTTAGCGGTAAACGCGCAAACTTGTGTCTTCAGGGGATTAAACTGTACTGGATTTAGTCACCCCCAGTCCGAGACTTTAAAATTTTACTTGAAACGAAACATTCCATTTTAGTCCTCAGGAGTGACAACGCATTTGCATTTAATTCTTAATCAAATACATGTAGATGTCAATAGACCACATCAACTACTTTTTTTGTAGAATAAGGGTGAAAAACGACCCGATTGTAAGTGGATACTGTGGCCCATAGACATCTACATTTATCCTCGATTAAGAATCAAAACGTAGATGCGTTGTTACCCCTGAGGACTAAATCGGAATGCCTCGTTTCCAGTAAAAAATCGTTACCGGATCTCTACACTCACTATACGAAACACAGTAGTATGAAGCTGCTATTTTACGGTGGTATTATGTGAGAGCATGGTCCTTCCCCGGTCGAGTTGACCCATTCGTGCTACAACTATAATATAGCTGCAGCGTGGCTCTACCACGTATGAAATCTTACCATCATGTGGACTGTGTGCTCGTTTGTCACTATGAATTTTTTCATATGCGACACGTAGTTTTCTACGTGTCGCATTTTAAACACGGAAAATGACGTTTAGATTAGAAGACTATTTATTTTATTGATAAGTTAAACGGTCAAATTTAATCAAATTTATTTTTCTTTGTTTAATAGGTACTTTCTGTATTATAGTGAATTGACGGTAAGTCCTGTTAAATTAACGAAATAATATCCTCCAGTCACGGAGCGGCGGAAACGGAAACGAAACATTAACGGAGACTAGCCATCCGCGTAGAACAGGATTATAATGCCCAAGTGTATGTGCAATTATATCTCTATTCCCTCACTCACATAGTCCGATGGAATGGTAATCCGACACGATCGGAGAGTATTTAAGGCCTTACGTGCTTTCCAAAGCACGGGAATAAAAACACCGTAAACTTCTTGACTCCGAGCTGCTTCTAAGAACTTCTTGACAGAACAACCCTATAACTGATTTTGGCTCGACTCGGGATTCGAACCCAGAACCTCATGATCAGCAACATCGTTTACGTACACTAGATTAACTAAGCAATATTAGAAATTGCAAAACCTTATAATATGTATTAAAAACCGAGTCCCAAATCTTACACGTTTTATTTTAAATTTTCACTATGGTACAAAATCTTAATTATAACATAAATAAAACTGTGGAAATGCCGACAGGAAAGCGAGGGGATTTTGTCGACCCGCGCCATAGATACATTTCCGCGGAAAAACCGCGGGAATTCGCGTGCCAGTGATATTGTTGTCGGCCATCTTGCCCAGGTGACACAGATTCCTAAAACCATACAGTATGTATTATTACGTGTGGTTAGTATCATGGTGTAATTATCTTTAAATAGTTGTTGTGTAATATGATGACATAAATAATGGCTCATCTTTTAACTGTAATAGTAAGCTATCATAATCTCTAATAATAATAACCCAAAAAAAAATATATATATATATATATATATAACATAACCCAAAATACCTAAATATACCTTCTCTATCAACATTTTTTATATATATATATATATATATATATATATATATATATATATATATATATATACCACCCAGCCTTACACCGCATTCCAGCCTGTATTCTTCCGACAGAGCTCCAACCCACCTCACCTGGTTACGCTGGTTAGCATGCTAGTATCTTAGTAGAGCCGTGTACTCCGCCGGCACACCCGCGTCCCTCAACTTGCCCCACAGCATGTCGTATGAGACCAGGTCGAAAGCTTTCGATAAGTCGAGGAACGGTGATATGACATGCAGACAGTAAATGGCGCTCTCCGTCGATACATTCAGTTTAAACCCAAATTGTGCATCGTTTATTAGTACGTATTTGTTGAGACACTCATTTAACACACTGTCAAACACCTTGGCTGCAGTGGTTGCAAGCGAGATAGGTCGGTAATTACCCATGTCGGATGTGTCCCCAGTTTTATTTTTAACAACGGGTACTACAATAGTCCTCATCAGCGGCTCGGGCAAGTAAGAGTGACCCAAACACAGGCTGTAAAACAGTGAAAGGACTCGCGGAAGATGCATCCCAGCATATCTGAAGTGTTCGATGCTGAGACCATCATAACCAGGCGATTTTCTTGAGTCTTAATTATTTTTTTTTTTTTTAGGTAAAAAAATAAAAAAAAAAATATATATATATTTAGTAACTTGACGCTTCGGCCACTATACCTACTTTGACGGCCTTTGTAGTCTAGTGCGCAGAGGTCTAATAGTTGTAAGTGCTGGCAGTGGCCACCGCGATCCATTTTCTGTCCGGAGGAATCAGTATTAACAATCACTGAAGTCATCAAACACCTTTATCATCTCTAATGGTTATGTTATGAGTCTTGTAAAGTGGAGAGCAGTGGTAGCTCAGGGGCTTAGCGCGCCCTTTAAATTTCACAGTGCGCGAGCAACCCGGGTTCGATCCCTGCCGGCACCAGTTATATTATTTGCAATTTTAATTGTTGATTTACCACTTGTTCGGTGGTGAAGAAAAAACGTTAACAAACCTGCATGCCTCAGAAATAAAGACATTTCCTTGCCCTAAAACCCTCTCAGAAGTGAGAGGAGACCGTGCCCAGCTGTGGTACGTGTATAGACTATACCTAAAATGGAACCGAATAAAATACGTGAGGGATATAAAATAAGCTAAAATGAAACTTTTACTTCATCGATGTAATCTATTTAAAAAAATAGAAATAAAGTATACATTTTCGTATATGTAGATTGCCAATGTATTTTTATGAACACTTCTATAATTAAAACAATCTTCTTTGCAAGAAAAAAAAATCCTATTTATATTTGAACTAGTTTCTTTTGTTTTTTTTCATTAAGGCCCGGTTATTAGTAAATTACTGATATTCAAAACAATTTCATGGACTCTAATAAAGTTTCCAAGACCCAAAAAAAAATACATAACAAATTTAAGGATATGAGGTTCACAAATCTGCGGTTGAAAACATTATATTTCAAAATTTTGACGATAGAAAATTTATCTAAACTTTGGTCTTTTGAGTTTTATTATTTCGTTTAATTTCTGAAATACCACGTAAATTACTATAAAAATTAAACTACAATATCCAAACATGTTTTTAACAAACAATTCTGCGGTTCGTTTTTTTGAAATTGCTATTTACTTTTTATAAATCTAAATAATATATAATAATATAATACAATGCAAGCTCTGCTCACGCTAGTCGCCCGCCGGGCCTTGCCGAAGCAGGTTCTGTGTCTAATTTTTCGCGCGCACCGCCGTTCCGATCTCGAAAATATTGCTCGCGAGTAAACTTAAGATTGAAGTTTTATATTTCAGCATATAAGTGCAGTTCATAATTGCAGAAATAATAAAAGAATTGCAGAAATATGGGAAATAAAACAGCATATAAAAAATTATCAAAATTAAAAATACGAAGATTGAAAAAAACATTAATGTGAGTATGAATGAATACTATAAAATATATTTATTTTCACTTTTTAATAAAAACAAATAAATTGATAAATGCAACTTCACGTAAAAACAATAAAAACAATTGTTTTATTTTTTACTTTATATGTCACAGTATAAGTATACAACAGTAAGACCACTAAATGTAGCAATTGTGACCTTTTTTTGTTTTCAGTGCAAAAGCACCACGGACCAAGGGCATGTTTAGATCACAAGAAAAACTCAATGAAAAGTAAGTATGTTAGCGACATATTATACATTAGGTATGTGAAATAATTGATCTTCGCCACATCCTTCACATGTATTTTATAAAAACCGGTAAAAAAGTACCTAAGTTAATCCTGGTCATATACTATCTGTGAACTAAATTTCATCCAATTCGGTGCAGTGGTTTTGAAGGATATTAAGTAACAAACAAACATCCAAACTTTCCGATTTATAATATTGGCGTGATTAGTGACAGTGGCGCGGACAATGGAAATTCATTGTTCGCACCTCTGTCAGCCCGCTTTATAGTTTAATAGGCTTTATAGGCCTTATAGTTTCTGATATTACTTGCTGACACGTGCTGTTTTAATAATTGGACAATGTATTTTTCAGACAACAGAGTAATTTGCCCCAGCAGTAGCACAACTACACTGAATTCTAATGTACAGAATATAACGAATTATGTGTAAGTAGCTATTTAAAAATAAAGCCCATATCGATTTAAAAAAAAAATCGTTCTGCCATACAAATTGTCCAGTCATGTAAAATATTTTGTTTGGGAGATCGATTTTTTTTCAGATTTCGATATGGGTTTCTTTAGGAAAGTTGTTCAGTTTCACGGGTAAATGAACCCAAGGGCGTTCATCTACAATTTGAATTTATTTATTTTTCCCTGAATTTTTTTTTCAGACCAACTGAAGACAATGACGATTCATACGTAATTGAGCCTGAAAAAAGCAATGAAGAGTTTCAGCATGTTCTAGGACGGCGGATCATTGATATTAATTACCTCTTGGAAGAGTTACAAAAAAAAGCTTGTCATAATGAATTGTTCCACTGTAATATGAGTAATTTTCGTCTAATGGGTGAAAAAAGAGAAGGACTTATATCCTTTTTCAAATTTGAATGCAATATGTGCAAAAATATCTGTACAATTAAATCTGAAAACACACATGATACTGACAAAATTAATTTAAACATTGCCGCGACCACTGGCATCGTTGCTTCTGGTATTGGTTATTCACAATTTGAAGAGCTATGTTCAGCAATAGACGTTCCAGTATTTACTCCGAATACTTACACCAAATATCAAGATCAGGTTCTTAAAAATGGGAACAAACTGCGAGTTCTTCTATGGCAGCTGCTGCAGAAAAAGAAAAAGAAATAGCTATCGAAGAAGGCCAAACCAAGGGTGGTTTTCCCGTAATTGATGTTCTCGTTGATGGCTCCTGGTGCGCTCGATCCTATGGTTCTAATTATAAAGCATTATCTGGTACTGCAGCTATTATCGGCAGAAAAACTGGTCAAGTTCTTTACATTGGGTTGAAAAATAAATACTGTCTTGTGTGTGCCCGAGCTGAAAATAACAATATTTCACCTAAGGAGCATAAATGCTTCAAAAATTACGAAGGATCGTCAACGTCTATGGAAAATGAGATTATAGTCGAAGGATTTAAGTCTTCTATATCTTCATACGGCCTCATATATGGTAGAATGATTGGTGATGGTGACGCCTCTACTTACGCGAAAATCCTACAGGCCAGACCATATGCAGAACAAAACGTCACTGTCGAAAAAATTGAGTGCCGTAACCATATCTTGCGAAACTTTTGTAAAAGAATGCGTAATTTAATAACAGAAACAAAATACGCTTTGGCTCAACGAAAAACATTGACTAATGTAAAAATTTTAACAATGTGGAAAGCAATTGTAAAAGCCATAAAACATCACAAAGTGTCGCAGAGTCCTCGAGATGTTGTAATATCGATGTTACACAAAGATATCATCAACTCTGTGTCACATGTGTATGGTGACCATAGATTTTGCCAGGATTATTACTGTACAAAAGAAAAAAATGATAATGAAGAACTTAAAAAAAATTCAAAATTCAACCTTTATTTTTAGGATAAATGCCATTGTTTCCAGTATTGCAGCAAAATCACGAAGTTTAATTGAAGACGTGGATACCAACACTGTCGAATGCTTTAACAGTGTAATTGCAAAATTTATTGGAGGAAAACGAATCAATTTTGCTTTGAAAGGAGGTTATCAAGGTAGGTGTTCAGCGGCAGTAGTGTCATTCAACACCAAATCGGCAATATCCACAGTTCAATCGGCTTTTACTGGCAAATGTCCCGGAGGAAATGCTGTGATTGTAGAAAGAAAAAGGTCTCAAAAACGGAAGATAAACTTTGAACATCCAAAAAAGAAAAGAAGAATATTAAAGGAAATTAACAAAAAGCAACATGATTATGGTCCAGCAAGTGCAGCACCTGATATGTCTCCTCAACAGTTAGAAAAAGCTAAAGAAGAATTTACGAAAAATTTGAAGGATGTTACATGTGATAGGAATGCTATTGAAAGGGCTACCGTGTTGCAAAGGGACAGCAGTGAATGGCTTGAGTTAAGAAAAAATCTTGTTACAGCTTCAAATTTCGGCCCTATATGTAAAAGAAAGGCTAATTTTGGCACTGCTTCACTTGTTAAAAATATATTATATCCAAAGAACTTGTTAAATGTTGCCTCCATTTGCCACGGAATCGAACATGAAAGTCAAGCTCTACAACAACTGGAAAAGCAAGAAAATGTGAAAATTACGCATTGTGGACTATTTATCGATCAAACTCATCCATTTATCGGTGCAACTCCGGACGGACTGGTAGGAGATGATATGCTAGTTGAGATAAAGTGTCCCATTACAGCTTCTAAAAAAGGTCTTGAAAATTCAATTAAGGAAAACAAAATTCAAATTCTCAAATACGACAAAAAAACAGGCACAGTGACCGTAAACAAGAAAAGTAACTGGTACTACCAAATTCAGGGCCAGCTGCATGTTACGGGTAGGAAAGTTTGTTTATTAGGAATTTGGTCAGGTGACAATGAAACAATTTTCACAAAATATATTGAAAGAGATGATGAATTTTGGAAAACTATGGAGCCAAAGTTAGTACTTTTTTTATAAAAATTGCTTACTCACAGAAATTGTTGACAGCAGATATGCGCGTGGGATGGCGATCCGAGATCTAAAACTGGAATGTGACTCCATGTCTGTAATTGATGTAACAGACAAAGAAAATAACAGACCTGATTTATTCAGGACTGACCATCGAACGTCTAACGAACCTGACAAAAATTTTAAAAGAATTCACCAACTCAGTATGGAAGAGTTTTAGAAATTGTTTCATAGTTGATCGATTGGTTAAGATGTAGTTTTAGATCACTATTGTAATTATTTAACATTGAATACTTACGCATTTGTAAAACTTACATAAAATTATTAAAAAGAAATTTAATTTAATATTTTATACAAAGTTTTTTTTTAAATAATCGAAATCAGTAAAAAAAAACTAAATACGTATAAATTTAATACATCATACAAAACATTAACTAAAGACGTAATTTGTAACTACTCACTGCAAACTAAAAACAGTTCAAATCATAAGAAGTGGTCCTACTGCGAACTATTTTGTACTGTGGTCTGTAGTAGCGCGGTGCCGGGATCAAGTGAGTTCATTTTTTTGGGGTGTTTGCGTTGTTTATTACGCGCGCGCTGGAGATGCGCTAAATACCTAAAGTGTCAGTATAAGAGTGCCTTAAACTGAAGTGAAGAACTTACAACCTACCTGATGGTAACTGGCTACTGCAGCTCAAGCTCTGGCTAGGGGCACTACACGCATGTTGACAGTTGACACCTCTGAAAGCTAAGGAACACTCAGTACAAGCACAATGCTATTTGGTGGCAGGAATACTATAAGACAGATTTCATGGCAGAGGGACACTATCGCTTTACCTCTGAACCCCCTAGCGGTCTCATTAGACCGCGGCCATATTTCGTCAAATCCCTAGCGGTCTCATGAGGTCGCGCCCACCTACAGCACTTTAACCCATAAAAATTTATAAATAGATAATATTTTTCTCTCTCTCGGCATTATATAATCAATATGAAATACTCTATCCTCTAGTGCAATAAAAAAAACTGTTATCCTATGAATATTTATTTATAATATACGTTCATTTTGTACGTCATTTTCGCGTGTATGTTATTGTGTTGATTTTTGGATTTTTCTAGTGTTTTACTAGCGTTTTATTATAAAATTGTAATGAAAGTTTTTGTGTGAATATAATTTATCTTTTCACGTAAATAATTTCGATTAATATACATTGAAATAATTTTTCGAATGCTCTCTACTTAAGGAACAGCGTGTCTTTCAACTTATATATAGCACATAATTCGTGGATGCTTTATAGCACACTGACACTTAGGTAGAAATTCAAACAAAAATAAGACGAACAACATTTTTTTAAATACTTATTGGCATAAATCACTATCAGACTTACTAGATAGACTTTAGTAACAAAAATAATAACAAAAAACTCCAAAAGTGCACGCCTCATAATCTCATTTGATTATATTAAAAGAAAAATATTTCTTTTTCTATATTTGAGACGAAAGAAGAGATCCAAGAGAATATTTTTTGTAGAAAAGTACCAGTTTTTTTTTACATTTTCATTAAGTATAATTAAACGAGACCAAATTACAGTGATATTTAAAAGGAACCTGTGTGCGTTGAAGTTCTAAACCTAATAAAAAAAAAGAATTATTTGGATACATTAATTCTAACGACCAGACGATACAGATATCCGGACACTTTTGGAATTTTCTTCAATCCGTTTTTTTTACACTAAGTACAGAAAATTACTTTTAAAAATAATAGAAACATGAAAACGAGATTTTATCGATACAGGTGTATTTTTATAATTCTAAAAGTGCAATAGTTAAAAAATAAAGATATTTTTAGCTCAGAAAATTACTGGATTTCCATTAAGTGAGAGTAGAACACAACCTCAACATTTCGCTTATGCTTCTCTTAAATGTTAAATTTAAGAGAAGAAGAATTTACTCAATATCTGCATTTTTTTCTTCTATGACATAAGTTAAATGAAATAAGTTCTTGCATCTAGGTACTTCTATTCTTTTAAAAATTTAGAAATAAAAAATCTGACTTCAATATAGCTATATACTTTTGAATAAAAGGTAAGCAATATTTAACAATTGAAAAGTAAAGTTTATCAAAATGTTATTAATCAATACTTGTTGCTTTGATAACATGACCTAAAAAATGAAAGTCAGTCCAGAGTGTCATCACTAATCATTTAAGGCACTACGAAGGTAACTGCATGTCATTCTAAATCACGAAAACACTCTTTTAGATTCTACACTTGTTGGAGGAATCGATAACAAAAAATTATATGCCCTCATTAAGGTGAAAGCACCAGGGTAGACCGCGAAATTCAAATTTTCTTACGTTTTTTGCTATTTGCAGTTCTGTGTGAGATTGTATGTTTAAGTAAATATGATTCGCGATCGTAAGAAGTATGTGTTCACAGAATTATTATCATTAAAATCACCAGAGAGAGGAGAGGGTTGTAAAGGGTTGTATCTAAGTTCATATAACTCCTTTGAATGAGTTTTACTGGAAATAGTCATACAATGGAATTATACGAACTAAGAGGGTTGTATTGATGATTATAATGATTATTATTCAGTAAATGCATACTCGTTACGGTCGCGACCATTTTTATTTCAACACACAGCCTGACACTGGCCAACAAATTGCAATAAACATAAAAATTTGAATTTCACACACTACCCTTGCGCTTTCGTCTTAAATGAACATTATTTAAAAGCTGTTGCGAAGAATTACTAGTGCTGCCAATAATGATGATTAAATATGTCTTTCTTTTTTAAATTCTGGCCGTGTTTTGAAATATTTTTATTATTAAATTCTATTTATCTTTATATTATTTGTAGTATTCGAAAAATTCAAAAATTCGAATATTACTCTACATATTATTCGAATAGTATATGAGGTGATATTACCCTACTCCCAACAAGCTTTCGGCTGACCTGAACTGCCTCCTTACGGCTCAGACCGAGTCTCCCCATCTCATCTCGTAATATGCCTTAGTTAGGAACACTTCTCAGCGGCTACTCGCCACCTGCGCCCTCCTTTCCCCACGGAGGGTCCGTGCGCGCCTCCGATACGGCTAAAAGATCTTACCAGGTTAAAGCCAGTCTCACAGGTGGTGTTTAGTGGGTGGGACTCAATGAGGCTTCTTAGTGATTCCCACAAAACCACACAGCCGGCTGCGTGGTATGCTTAGAGC